TGTATGTGGGATCCGAACCCTCGGCGGGAGCGCCACCACACTCCCAAGCGGCGCACTGTAGCTGTGCGCCACCGGGCCGGCCCCCAAATCTCCCTTCTTTAGGATCCTTCAGACGCATTCTGACATTCTGCCAGAAGTCTCTGGGCTTGTTACTTAAATCTCTGCCGATACTGGCACTGCACAGGGTAGGTAGGGCAAGGTGTTCTGCCACTTTCTTTGCCTTTTAAGTTCTAAGTTTTGTTTTATTTTCCCAAACAAATAAATCAAAATTACAAAATCAAATCAATGCATCTTTTATGATTTCTTGTTGTAGCACTTTGGAAAGTTTTGCTTTAGGATCCAAGACGTGATGAAGCTTGTGTGCCAAAGCAAGCAGCCCACGGAGAGGAAAGACTTGGAAGAGAAGGAAGAAAGGGCAGGGCAGGGAAGCCAAGGAGCCTGGAGGGGCACAGGGAGGGGCAGTCTGGACGTGTCGCAGTGGAGGACGGAGATCGGAGTTGAGGTGTCTGTCCTTCTCGGCCTCCGTTTCCTTTGAGGAGAGCCCAAGGTCTGGAGGATATGGGGAAGGAGCACTTGGGCAGCATTTTCAGGGTGGCGGGAAAGGGGATGGTCATGAGTCATGGTCCCTGATCAGCCAGGGGAACCGAGAGAACACCAGCGGTCCTGATGTTTGAAGCGGCCAGACAAGGCAAGGAGACAGGACATGACCTGGGCACCTGCTCTCAGGACGTGACCACTGTGGAGTGACCGGCCAGTTGGGGCCGACAGGCTGAGAAGGTCTGGATGCACCTTGCCCGCCTCCCCAGAGGAAAACGGCCCAATCTGCACTTTGGACAAAGTTGAATTCCAGGTAAAACCATTAAACAGGACAAAGAAGGTAACCTCATGACCACCAAAGGTCCAATTCACAGCAAGTATGACACCAAAATATAGCAAGCAAAAACCACAGGGACTCCCAGGAGGCACTGCAACGGCAGCCGTGCACACCCGGGACAGAGGAACGACGGTGCGGGGTATGGATGGGGTAATTGACAAGGCTGGCCTAGTAGCCAACTCGACGCTCTGCACGCGGACGGTGACCTGGCTGCAGTGAGCTGGATGCTGTTCCTGGCAGGATGAGGGTGGTGTGGGAAGGAAGTGGGCAAAGCTTACTGTGTTCGGGTGGGAGGATGGGCGGGGGGCACTAGCAGGGGGAACGTGGGCTCCAGAGAAGGCCAAATTCAGATCAGAGACAGGAACACTATGACAGAGTCCATGGGGAAGGCCAGGTGGACCTGGGGCAGGAGACGGTGTTCTTGCCTGACCTCAGAGCCTGCGGGGAGCAAGAGGCAGATGCCGTCCTTAGAAAGAACCGTTCCGTTTGCCACTAAAAACTGGCACAATCAACCACAGAAGACTCATTCAGCAAGCCACAAAATGTTTAAACGTAGCTTAATATGAAATTATTTAAAGTGTTATTTGCAAAGATATTATGAAAACACAATGAGAATATCTGTAATAAATATTAATGTTATAATATTAAGTGTAGAAATATGTATTAAAACTGAGGTTTACATCCTCCATTGTGTTTGAAAAAGTTTGTGTCTGGTGATTTCCTGTCTCAGTGGGGAAGTGTATATGAACATGGATTTTCTTTTCTTTTTTATATTTCCATATATTTTCCGAATTTTTCACAATATGAGCATGTATTTAAAAAATTTTTTTATGAAGAAAAAAGTGTTTTCTAAAGAAGAGAGAACGCATTTTTACTTGGTTTTGTCCTGAGACCAAGAGAGGCCTCTCAGCTTTGCTCACAACCAGCAAACAAAGTCAGGCTCCTTGGGGCTGTGCTGGTCCAGGGGCTTAAACCTGTGGGACACCCCCAACCCGAACCCACGGGGGGAGGTCTGTGCTTCCCTCATCAGCCCATGTGTCGTGGGAGGCCCACAGTGTGTCCCAGCCCTTTCTGTGACACCTTTGACTTCCCCACCCTCCAGCACCCCCTGGACAACATGCCCCTTCCTGGGAAATAAGAGGTTTTTATGTCTAAGTGGTCTGGCTGCATCACACTTAACTTGAACTCAACCTTGGCTCTTTCAGGTAGAGCAGGGAGCCTGTTGACTCCCCCTTCTTTCCTTCCTTCCTTCCCAGAGGGTGCTGGCCTGCTAGTGCTGAGTAGTGATGTCATCACCTCTGCTGAATCCCTGTGCTCTGCTAGTGGTAATTCCCAGACTGTGTCAGCATGGACTGAGAAAAACCAACTTTAGCTTGAAACCAAACCTCAG